ATCATCCTCGAGATTGAGGAGAAAACTTGATTCATATTGAATGTGACAAACAGCATTAGATCGAACCATTTCAATTTCATACTTTGCGGATTAATTTATGGTATTGGTTCATTTTGTTAAATTATACTTCTGCATGGATCTTTTTTAGTTGTTAACAATCAATCGAATAGATTGGAAATTAATTTCAGCTGATCTGACGTTCAAGATATTTTTTCGAATAAAAATACTGGCAAAAAGAGAAAATTTTGGAAACAAGATTACATATCTCTCCAATGTTCGAACCAACATTTATATTATAAGACATAAAAATTTATATTTATTTTAAGGTATTATTCAATAAGATGGATGCACTAGTCTGTTCTTCTTCCGAACTCATATCCACACACCTATACATCTATCTATTGCAGATATTAGGATACATTTTAATAATAAGATTGATATATTCCATGTTTAACATTATCTAACCATGATTGATTATTAAGATACCAATCTACAGTTTGATTTAAACCTTCTTCAAATTTAACAGATGGAAACCAACCGAGTTCATTATTAATTTTTGTTGCATCAATAGCATATCTTCGGTCATGTCCTGGACGATCTGTTACATATTTTATTAATTCTGCTGAGCTTCCTTTTGTTCGATTCAATTTTTCATCCATTATTTTGCATAGTAACCTAACCAAATGAATATTTTGACATTCGTTAAAAGCACCAATATTATAACATTCTCCATTTTTACCTTTATGAAAAACAACATCAATAGCTTTAGCATGATCAATAACATATAACCAATCTCGAGTATATTTTCCATCTCCATATATGGGTAATATTTTTTTCTCTTTTATATTATTAATGATAAGTGGAATTAATTTTTCTGGAAATTGATTTGGTCCATAATTATTCGAACAATGACTTATAACAAATGGTATTCCATAAGTATTTCCATAGGCTTTAACAAAATGATCAGATGCTGCTTTCGAAGCTGAATATGGTGATAGTGGATTATATGGGCTAGTTTCTGTAAAAAGTCCAGTTTCACCAAGAGATCCATAAACTTCATCAGTTGATATTTGATAGAAACGTTTTTCTTGAAAATTATTTTTCCACGAATCTCGAGCAATATTTAATAAATTAGCAGTACCAATAATATTTGTTTGAATAAAACAATTCGGATCGTTAATAGATCGATCAACATGACTTTCAGCAGCTAAATTGATTATACCATCAAATTTAAATTGATTAAATATATCTTCAATAGAATCACTTTGATTAATATTACCTTTGATAAAAGTATAATTTTCTTTATTTTCTATATCTCTTAAATTTTCAAGATTTCCAGCATAGGTCAATGCATCAAAATTTACTATATGATAATTTGGATATTTATTAACAAATAATCTAACTACATGTGAACCAATAAAACCAGATCCTCCAGTTATAAGAATATTTTTTTCCATTCTAAAATTCAAAATGAAATATTCGCATTAAAATAATAGAAAAATTAATTCTCTATGATCACTGATTTTATGTGTTATAAAACTAAACGAACTCGAACGATGTGAATGTAGGTGAGGATGACTACAAGACACCGCTCAAACTCACATTCTATTTAGAATTAGCGTAATATTAATAATAAGTTCTCCTAAATATCATACTGGCCATTTTTAAAAAAATTCCCAGCTGACGTTTTGTACTAATTATCTGTGACGAAAGCTATGAATACGTATGAATATTTTCTAACTCTTTATAAATCTTCTGATTCGAATCTAGGTTCGCGAGATCGTTTTAGCTTAGTTTTCAAGTTTGACTATTTATGATAAAGATGACTCTAGCTTAATGACATTTAAAAAAATGGATAAAATGAAAAATATAATATTATGGCATTGTAAGTCATGCTTAGTTTTTTCTACGAAATTATTTTTTTAATTGACTTAATTTACAAAAATGACCTGAACAAATGTATCATTGAAAATGATATGATGAGTCATTCGCATCAGATAATAGATCATGTTTATATTTTAGTTTTTCTTTTATTTATATTGACTAATGATGTTGGGATTTTGATAACAAAAACTCTAAATGAAAATGACTAAAATGATATTCTCTTATTCATAATAAAATGATTTCAATATATAAAATGATGCTTGAGCTTCTGAGCACGTGTATAGATTACTTACTATTTTTTTCTTTGGATTTTATTTGTTTGTGACATACACCTGTATATTTTTATGTATACAGAGATGAAACTTGTTTCTTTGTTTTGAATTATACCTAAGGACAAATCGATTGAAATGAATGACAATGCAAAAAACAAACAAAACATGTTATGTTGCTCTTTAGAATATAAGGATAAAGGCATATGTTTTTTTCCTAGCATAATCTCCGATTAATCTTGATTATTAAATAAATAAATATCCTTTTTTCAAATAGAATTCTCGATGAAAGGTATAATTGTTGCGGGTGGTTTAGGTACTCGTTTATATCCTTTGACTAAAGTGATATCAAAACATCTTTTACCAATATATGATAAACCAATGATTTATTATCCATTATCTGTATTTATGATGGCTAATATAAAACAGATTTTAATTATAACAACACCAACTGATAATGATCAATATAAAAGATTATTAGGAAATGGTACTCAACTTGGATGTCATTTTCAATATGCTGTACAGAATGAACCAAATGGAATAGCACAAGCATTCATTATAGGAGAAAAATTTATTGATAATGATAATATTGCTTTGATTCTTGGTGATAATTTCTTTTATGGTATTGATTTGAGTTGTCATTTACAAAAATTAACTAATAGTGATGGAGCCTATATATTTACTTATGAAGTATCTAATCCTAATTGTTACGGTATCGTAGAACTTGATCGTAATGATAAACCTATTTCTATTGAAGAAAAACCAAATGAACCAAAATCTAATTATGCCGTAACTGGTTTATATTTGTTTGATAATGATGTTATAAATATAGCAAAAAATTTACAACAATCACATAGAGGTGAATATGAAATTACAGATATAAATAAAGTATATTTACAACGAAATAAATTACATGTTATTAAATTAGATAAAACAGTTGTTTGGTTTGATATGGGAACATTTCAAACATTAAATGATACTTCACAATTTGTTCGTTCAATGGAAATAGAAAATGGTATAAATATTGGTTGTATTGAAGAAATAGCATACAAAAAAAGTTATATTGATATTTATCAATTAAAAAAATTGAGTGAACCTTTAATTAATAGTGAATATGGAATATATTTACAAAATATTATCAATGGATCATAGATATTCAAACAACAGCTGTATGGCATAAAACAGAGACTATGATGCTTTTCATTAAAAATACTTCAATGCAGAATTTTCTAATTAGTCACTACAATTTGAATTCATTCTAATTGCAAAATATTTACGAAGATACACGTATCAGCTATTTTTTCTCAAGATTTTATAGATGTGAGTCTATGCAGAGCACTTTATTAGTATACTCTACGTTTTGTTTCTTGTATTTATCAGCAGATGCTTTTCTCACTATTATAAAATCTTGAATAAATCCAGAATATTTTGTACATCATGTACTCAAGAATTGAAACATAATTATTAATATGTCTGTTATGACATGAACAACAAATAGAATATACTTTGGTCAGCTGTATTCAGAAATGGCAGATGAGATTAAACGAAAACTATTGATTTTTATATAACGAAAGGATAAAGTTTAATATTAAATTTCAAGTGAGAGCAACTAATATTTTACTACAGAGAATATTTAAGCTAAAGGATCCTTCAAATCAGATAAAATTCGAAGACGATTAAACAGCGATAAAAAAAGTACTATTCAAAAAGTCTAGGTTTTTTTTATCGAAACTTGTTAAGACAAATTAAATTTCAATAGAGAACAGTGACTATTCCTACAACTTCCTAGATTTAACTAGAATTGAAATTAAAACTGAAGAGAACTTAACCTTATTCTCATCTTTTTAGATTTTTTGAAATTTTAAAACTCCTTTTCATTTTGTCTAAAACTCAATTTTGTCTGCTGCATATAAAGTGGACCGCAAAAGTTTAAGACACTTTTATTTTCGAAGTTTTTCATCGAAGATGAGTAGCTAGGTCAAATCCAAATAGTGATTTGGATAGCTCTTGAAATTCTCTATCGAATAGAACATGTGTCAAATTTTCAAAAGAAACTTTGTCAAGAGAGTTTTACAGAAAACTATGCCAGAGAGATTTCAAGTCCTAGAGGATTTTGGCTTTTATTTATTCGAAGGATAAACAATAAAAAGAAACTAAAAACAAATACCCACTTCAAACAGTGTCTAGTATCTGTAAAAAATATTTTCAACTCGATCGAACATAGCATCTTGGAGAAATGGAGGCGAGAAGTAGAAGCCATTGTGACTCTATTATCTCACAGAAAACAGCATTAGAGAATTTTGAATCTATGACAACTTTTGTTCTACTCATCAAAATCTATCTACCCTTAAAATTTCAAATTTTTCTGATGAGCCATTCTCCAGAAATTCCGAAAAGGGAGAGGGCAGTACCCTCCAGGTATTAGATATTTAATAAACAAATCTATGGGAATTTATCAAAATTTATTAAACTGAATCAATAATTTGAAAATTTGATATTGCTGCAGTCCGCACTTCTAAAGCTAATTGTACAAAAGGACCTGTATAGGCGGCAAACACAGAAGTGTCTTGTGCAAATACAGTTATTATCTATTAAAAAAAGAATATTATTTTTTTTAGCTTTAATGAAAATTCGCCAATCAATAAAACGACCAAAAATGGAACATTTACATATACTAGATATTGTCGTACCCAACAAAGCTTTTTTTATAACTAAAAATAAATCTTGAAGATCATATATTAGGTTATAAGAACCAAGATAATCTACCGTTCTAATTCAAAAATTTCCACCATTCAATGAGAGAACAGTACAAATTGAAGTGAATACTTATATGAGTGATCCTGGTGAGCAACGCTTATAATAAAATTTTCAGATCGATACGTCCTATTAGACCGAACTTTCAGCCTGTTTTTGTGACTTTCAGGAGAATCGTTATAACTTCGTTACTATAAGACTGGTTTCAAATTAAAGCTAACCTCTGTGTACAACTTTTATCCAAACAGAATTTTGAAATTCCCTTCTATTCATTTTTTATGAGCATTTTAATAAACATGTTGTTCAAATAAGTAAAAAAAAACAGGTAGCCCTCACGTCACGAAATTCCACTTTTTTCAGGATAGTAATCCAATATAAAAATCTGATCGGAGAAAAGTTTACTCTCATTGAGACCTTTAAAAAAATATTATCTATACCGTGAACCTGCTGAGAGTTATTTCAATTTTCCTGTCTGAAAATCATGTTTTGAGAAAAAACATTAAAGAAGTTTTAGAAATGGATTTTTTCATTCAAATCCAGAAAAAAAATCATATTACAATTGCATGTTTTTAGTATATTTCAGTGGACTATTTTTAAAAATGTTCTATTCAATTCTAATGCTCAATCAATATCTCAGAATTTCTTCAAATTTGACTATGCATTAAAAAAGGAAGTGGCTATGTGCACTCAAGTAGGTATTATCAACTAGTTACTAAATATTGAGATATATTATAGCCATATATGTATTTCATAATTAACATGAGTAAAATTTATTAATTTATTAATAATTTTACTCTATTTATTTGTTGTTAAATACAAATAGAGTATAAAACAAGTATTAATATCAAACAAATATAAAAGAAAAAGTTAATTCAAATAAAAATCAACTCATTTAGATATATTTCTAGCGCTTGATCTCTTAGATTTTGAACGAAAGGGTTGCATTTTATTATTTTCAATATATCGGACGGAAACTATATTGATGCCAGTGCTTTTCCTCTCTATTAATTGTGCCTTCTTTCTCTATTGATAATTTATAGAACGAAAGATTTTACTTTTTCTTGATTAATTAGCTTACAAAATGGGAAATTGAAAAACATAAAATTCCAATTAGCTTTCAATCTGGAACGAGATATCTTTTTTTCAAGACCCATTGATTAATCCTCACTAAAGAATAAGAATTAAAACAAGATTATAAACTGAGATTCTTTCAAGATGAGAAAAAAAACTGTCAAAATTAGAGATACAATCAGAAACGAATGTAAAAGAAATTTTTTTCATTATTGTTTTATAAAAAGATATTTTTGTATGATTAATGTTAGTTATATTGAAAATAAAGAAAATACAACTATTTCCTTGAAAAATTTAAGAGAGCAAATGCTAGAAATATTTGTAAATCAGTCGATTTTTACTTGAATTAACTTTCTCTTTTATATTATTTTGATTCTAATACTTGCTTTGTATTTTATTTGAATTTAATAAAGAATAAATAGAGCAAAATTGTTAATCAATTGATAAATTTTAATTATAATAATTATAAAGAATATATATGGCTATAATATAACTCAATATTTAGTAACTTTTTGATAATACCTACCTGAGTGTACATAGCCACTTCCATTAAAAAAACAAAATAGATGAATTAATTCATCGATTGTTAATCGATTTACTATAAATGAGTGATTGAAAAAGAAGAATATTTATACGAGAATTCTCAGAATAACCAAACTACGAGTCAATATCCGGTATCTCGATCTTCGCTTAATCTATCCTGAAAAGACATTGTTCATTGTTAGTTCCAATTGATTCCAATATGTTTATAACTATTGAATGAATTTTTGTTTTGTCGTACTGAAAACGGTATGATTTCTTGATTATGGATCTTTTGAAGGTTGTGCCCACTCTAATAATGTCGTTTTATTATTACAATTTATATATATAATTGAAACACTAGAATAAAAACTTGATTAGCTCGTTTAACTTTCAATTATTGATTATATATTCCCTTGTTATTGAGAGAAAAAAACTCTGATTGACTTTCCTTTTTCTGTAATATATAATTTAAACAAAATTGCTGAGATATTATTAGAAAAGCAATTATTCGCTTGATTCAACAGCCAAGAATACTTTCTTCGGATGTTCAATTTTTGCTAATTATAGTTGCCAATGCTTGTATAGTATTTTTGTTTTTTTTTTGTCATATAATTTTATAGAGAAAAGAAAAGTAAACGTCTTTAGAGAAAAAAACAAAAACATTAAAATTCTTTTGATAAACGATTATTATAAATAGATGATGTCGAATATACACCATGTGATGATGATGTTACGTTTAATAATTTAGTATTTGAAGAATCTGTTTGTGTAAAAATTTTTGAATTTTGTTTTTCAATAAATTTATTTGTTGTATCAAGATTTTTTTGTTGGTCAATAATTAAATATTTTTGAAATATTTCAAAATGATGTAAACCTAACATTTTAATAGTTGATGAACGATAATGATTAACACCTAAGATATAAATAAAAAAATTTATACATAATGCAGCTATATTTAATAATTCACTTAAACGTTTTAATTTATGTAATGATAATATTAAACTAATATTACAATGAGATTGATAATAACGTATTATAAAATAAGATAATGTTTGAACAATTGCATATGGAAAATATAATATAAGAAATATTAATGATACTAATGTTAATGTAATTGTTAATTTTGAACGAATATGTTCATTTTGTTGACTTATTATTTGACGAGGAGCATGAAGACGTTTTAAAATTGCTAAAAATAGAATTGAATTTTTATTTTAACGAAAAAATATAGAAACCAACCTGCATTACTTCCTATTAAGATTATAGCAGGTATTAAAGTATAAAATAGAAGATGAAAAATATAATTATTCCAAAAAATGAAAAATTTCATTTTATTTGAATTAAGTAATGGTGAAACACGACATGAACATATTTGTTTATATTGAATATTTTTTGTTTGATTTAAATTATGAAACATTGCACTATATTGAAAACCTGTTGGTCGACAAATCCATTCTTTATAAATTAATTGTGGAAGATTAATTAAAAGTGAAAAAAATACAAATATTAATATAATACATTTAGCACAATATCGATTACATAAACGACGTGATAAATTTGGCCATTTTTTTGACCATGGATTACAAACAAGTATAAGACGATCAATTGTTAAACCAACAATTGTCCAACATGAAAGTAAAATTATTGAATGTTTTGTATAATCATAAAATTTACAAATAAATGAGAAACGAAAATTTAAAAAATTTTTTGAAAATAAATAAATAAATAAATCATTTAATGATTGAAGACATTCATAAAATAATGCAAAAAAATCAAAAAATGCTAATGCACGAAGATATTCGACAAATGAATGTTGAAATAATGAAAAACGACATATTACCAAAAAACATATTAAATTACCACTTAATCCAATTAAACCAAATGTAAGTGTACCTAGAGAAATCAACTTTAAAATCAGATGATCCTTCATTTTAAGAAACAAAAAAAAACAATTTCAAACAAAATAAATCTTTTCTATTTTTAAAACACGGATTTTTTTTTCAACGTATCATATTGAATATAATACATACCAATAATATTCGTCCACCACCACCATGATCCTGAATCATCATTAAAAGCTTGATTTAAGATTGACAACGAATAATTTTTTTGTCGGTATATTTCTGCACAATTCATATCATATTTAATTAACAAAACTTTTCTATGATCTATAAACAGGAATGCATATATAATATATATTTACGCAAGAAAAAAACTCAGGAAATAATGAACGCTCAATTGACTTGTTCTTTTTCTTATTTGAAGAATGAAGAAAACGAGCGCACGAGAAAAACTTGTAGACTATTTTTTTTTTCTTTTATATAAGTGTGTTCCTCGTTTTTTTTTCTAGGCGAGTATTATCTTACAGTTAGTTGACTTTGTTGATTGATGTTTTTTTCTTGTTTTTGTCGTCTCAAAATAAAAGAATGTAATGATAACACTAACTATTATTAATTGGAAGTAAAGTGCTGTCAACACAACAAGAAATTACAGATGATTTATAGAGAACAGTTCTGTCCATCCCTGACAGATCAAACCAATGCATAGCAGATGGAAGAAACTAGTAGATTGATAAGATTATTGAAGTCGAAAAAATCGGCAAGATTTGACTCGACGTCTTAAAAAAAAACTTCCCGTCGAATTATATTAACTACTTGGCAAAATGCTTTAATACATGGTTGAGTAAATAACGAATGGATATTAGCAAAGATAATAACCTTAAGGACTTCCACAGAGAATTAGTTTCAGTCTCCATTGTGATCTAATAAATTGTCTGGGCGTGTTCATTCTTGTTATCTTTTCACTGATGATCTGAGCTTATTGATTAAACCCCTCTATGATGAAGAAATTAGTCTCTATTTGGAAAAGGAAGGTATCTATAGAGTGATTTTTCAAAAGAAATAAAACGGTTTTTAGTGGTTTTCATTGATAGGATACAATTGTAATTCAAAATGATTGTAACTCAGCATCAAAAATTACATCGAATTCAATAAATTTTACGCAGATTTTTTTTCCTGAGAAAAATCCCTGGTGGGTGGATCCGATGTAATTTTTTATGCTGATCCCGAATGTCACAATCATTTTGAATTATTCGCTTCGAGCTTGAATACCTTTATCTCTTGTTAAGCGCTTCTGAGTGTAATATTATCGAACATAATAAAAAAAAAAACTAATTATTATTGATTTCATTTCCCGATTCATTTAAATATCAATCCTTAAAAGTCGACAAAAGTTTTCTGACAGTTAAAAAAAGTTATTTATAAACATACAGAATATCTCTTGTAAGAAACATTCGATCTGATTGTGATCAACTAATTAGTATAAAAGGAGAACTATTTTAATACGAATTATTGTATTTATTTATTTTCTTATCATATAAAGTATCAATTGAAGCAAATAGTTTATGTTATTCATAGTTTGATATAATATTTCATGCTTTGATGACTGAATGTTCCTTCCAATGGATGTTTTCTTTATAGTATAACAGTAGATCAAGTAAATGTTTACTATATCGCTTCATCGAATAGCTTAGCGATATCATTGACACAGAAACAAAATCACGTTGTTTATATGAAAACACAAAATTTTCAAAAAATCTATTGACCATTGCTTAAGGGTGATTTATTTAACATTCTATGATCTATTAGATCATCTTAGTCTGAAAAAAATATCCGGTTTTTCTATATAAGAATTTATTATGTTTTTTTTACAGTAATTATCGCCATGGTTCTTCGAAAAGATATTCGCTTAGGCAAAAAAAAACGATCATATGTTCATTTCAGAAATTTGTGTTTTGACAAACGACGTATGAATAATAACTAGATTTGTTTTTTTTTTATATATGCAAACGACAAGTCAATTGAAGCAACAAAAAAAAAAGAATATTCTAATTCTTCAAACAGGCAAATATTAAATTATATCGGAATTATATATTTATGCATATGTTTCTTCATTCAATAAAAAAAAAAAACAATTGACATCTCTTGAATGACACATCTAAATATAGAAATTTTCAAGAGTGTATATTCTAACTCAAAAACATTCAATGTATTCGTGTCAAACTAGAAAAATTCAAAATATGACGTGTACGAGCGTCTAAATGGTCTGAGGATTTTTAGACACACGAGATAATAGAATCAAAGAGATGCAACAAAAGTCAGAATTTCATTCCAACTGTGCAGTACCCAAGAGAACAAACCGAAGCCATCAAGAAAGAGAATTTATCCATGTACTGTAACAAACAGAAAAGAGAGAATGAAAAAGGCCAATGAGTACACACGAAAATGCATCTATTAGAGCTACTCTTTAATGACATTTTATTAATATATACTTCACATGATTGTAGATCTATTCAGACAACATTAAGTTCTACAGTTAATGAATATTACACTTAAGTTTATGCAATATTTAAACTTAATATTAACTCTAGTGAACATACTCATCAAGTGAGTACTAAAAAAGTACTCATGCTAGAATCTGAGGACCTCAGTATGACCATCGGGTACTCATGCTTAAAATTTGACCATCTGAGTACGACTATCGAGTACTCGCCGTATAATTTTGAGTATTTTCTAGGTACTCATATACCATTTTTGTGTACTTTAGTAGTTTATTTAAAATACTCATAGATTTGTATTCTGTTCCGTACAGTTGTACTCTATCTACTTTATTCCAATATATAATTAATAACAAAAAACGTAGTCATGCATTATGAAAATTTGAGACAAATATGAAAATTGAGAACTAAATATGCTATATGACGTCAATCTTATTGTTATACAGAATATAAAGATAAATTTTCATCTGTAGAATATAGAAAAGAAGTAAAATAAGTATTGAGAACAATACAACATCAGTAAAGAGGAAGGATAATAAATTATTGATGAAATTAAAATATACAATAACAACAAACGTATACTATATATAGATCATTACAAAAAAACAAACTCACATTTTACACTCATAGCTAGATTGAACTTACTAATACGTAAAAAAATAAATAAAATATAAAAAAATTGTTTTTAATTTTATACACATGCCCTCAGAACATTGAATTCTAATCGATTTGTATCAAAAACTATTATTCGACTTTTGTTTCATTAGTTTTCACGATCAATCTGAAAAAAACTGTTTATTAATCTAGAATATTTTATCTAAAATTTAGGAAATGAAATTGAACGAATTATTGTTTATATATTTCAATCAAAATTTAATTTTACTCGATGAGTGAACAGTTGAAAATGAAAAGTCGTTTTTCTATTTCTGAAATGACCATTCATTAAAGCAGTACGAATGCATCATCAGAAAAGAATGGAGGATTAAATCACTAAAATAATTCTCTTCAATTTTTCATTTAATTGCATCATTTTTTTCTATTACACAACCTTATTCTATTTTTTTCTACATGTTAGTACATAAGTGTTTTGTTAAACATTGTGGAAACAACGAAGAGAGTACTATTTTGAGTACTCATGTTTTCGTATGCGAGTAATTCTTAAAGAAACAACTCATCTGAGTACTCGCTGTAGTAAACGAAAAGTATAAATACATATAAAAATGCTCGAGTACTCTTGCGAGTAATTTGAGTACTCACGCTGGCAAGTCGTACTCGTTTGATGAGTATTTTCACTAAGGAACACGAAAAACTTGTTCGTATAAGAAACAAAATAAATCCTTATGAGATTTAGACTGATAAACTGACGCTATAAGAATAGTAGTAGATACAGAGATGGGAGTAACTTGTGTTTGCCATTTTATGTCAAAATCAATACCGACTGTAACAGCAAAGAGTAGATAAAAATATAAAGAGAGTCATTGTGTTAAGGGGTACCTTTCTCAAATTTCATCAGTTTGTAGAGGAGACTCCAAAGGATCTAGAGTTGCAATAACTCATGGGTTGGATATTCTTTGTCGGAGTTATAAAAATTTCAAAATTTGAAGAAAAAAAAACGATTTTTCGAGCTAATTTGATGTCAGCGAAGAAAACAGTAGTTCTAATCGTGTCGTCTACTCTTATAATGGTTTTGTTTGCTGGGTTCGTCTCTATGAAAGAACAAATTTTTCTTTTAGGAAAAAATCTCGTTTTCATGAAGTTGGAGAATCCAAGATGTGTCCAAAGTTGACATATCCCGTGAACCATTAAAAATAGAGATTTGAAGGTCTCGAAGTGATTCATCGCTTTTAAGTCGAGACCATCTAGACCCTAATGAGCTATGAATACTCTAAAAAGAGTTTGGACTGATAGCTTATTATTACCAAGATACTTCGTTTTGACGATATTTTTTAAGCACAATACCGTAGTCCTCCTCAGAAACATCAGAAAAACTGAATTTGGAATTTCGACTCGAAACTTTGTATAGTGGCAGGTTCCAATGAGAATAGTTTATTGTAAACAAAAACATCGTAAAAATGAAGTATCTTGGTAGTAATAACCTATCAGCCCGAACTCTTTTCAGGGTATTCATAGCTCATTAGGGTCTAGATAGTCTCGACTCCAAAGCGATAAATCACTTGGCGACCTTTCCTCGTTAGTAAATTTGTATATTTCTTCAATACAAGCCCTGATTATCTTGTAACTTGGACATAATATGACTGGTTGATAGGTACTTTGTACACACAAAGTTTCATTGAAAACTTATGAAGTTAAAGTGTAGAAATTAACATTTCATAAAATCTCTATTTTTCATGGTTTACTGAATGTCAGCTTTGGACACATTTTGAAGTCTTCAATTTCAAGAAAACGAGATTTTTTCCTAAAATTTTTATAACTCTGACAAAGAACATCCAACCCATGGGTGTCTTCACTACAAACTGACGAAAGGCGGCTATAAGGATTTGAGAATGGTACCCTCCTGAAGAAGTTATTATATGGTTCAATAATCTATAAGCTATGTAGGAAATTCTTATTACTCAGTGATATTGAAATAGTTTGAAAAGTATTAATTGTTGAAAAATAGAAAAGAATGTGTTCACTTAGATTTGATTGGAGTCTGATCCTTGCAACAACAACAACATAGTCATCAAGAAACGTTTTTATTATATGTGTGTCTGCTGGATTATCTACCTTTGCATTAGAATTTCTATCAAAAATTTCTAACGATTTTCTATTTACTTAAAAGAATAATGACGAACGAGAACATGCTTTTATTGTTTTTGTTTTTTGTCAAGAGATGTGATGCATTTGTACATGAGTGAAAAAAAAACAACGAGTCGAATTTTTTTCTTTAAAAATCAAGCATTGAATTGTTCTAATAGAAACAATATGCAACATTTCGAATTGGCAAATGCATAACCAGAATCACCTATTATTGTTTGGTTCGATACTAATGCATTCAATAAAGAAGGTCAAATGGCACAAGAATTACTATAAGAAACTACAATATTCAAAAGTAATGAATCTATTATGACATTTTTACTTTTGATAATCATTATTTCTATATAGATTAAAGCCGTTGTCACAACACTTAGTGAACTGGTACATGGCTTCTTGTGCATTTGTTTGTAGTAAGCAGAATTCCATAACTGATCTACTTTACAATTACACCATGTTTCTTTTTTTCAATTTTCAAATAACCTACTAAATGAAATACAAATGGTATTAAGTCATCACGATTTGAGGAGAAGATGAAGATCGCTCATTTGCATATTTTTTCAAGGAAAATTTTGAGTGATACAAAACAAATATTTTTGAAATTGCACTTGTCATCATTGATAAAAGTACATTTTCATTCGTACGTATTATTCATAAGAATGTTATTTTATAAGTACAGGGATCGAATTTATATTTAATATCTGATGATAATTGAAAAGACAAAACAATGTGATTGTAGCCTACTCTTAGCTTATCTATTTTGATGTTTGATATTTTTTCTCTAATTGCAATTATTTTCGGCTTAGTAAGATCAAATTTTATTTTTTTTTAAGTTACTAATCTTTTATTTTGTTTTTGCAGATGCATATTCCTATATCTTGCCTGCAATTTACAAGTATTAATACACATTTTCAACGAAGACAGGAAGAGAGAGCAGCAGAATGTTGAGAATGATTGTTTTAATTTTTGTATCGATTATCGTATCTTTAGCTGCCGGCAATATGCCACGTACTGATGTAACCGTATCGGGTATTTCTTCTGGTGGTGCGATGGCTGTTCAGTTACACATGGCTTTTTCCGAAGATATTAGTGGATGTGGTATTTTAGCTGGTCCTCCTTATTATTGTGCAGGAAATTTTATGGCAGCTACGGCTTGTATGAGTGGTCCATTGAATTTTGTTACAGCTTCGGGTATTCTAATGAAATTGAAATGGTATGATTCGATTGGAAGTATCGATAGTATTTCGAACATTCGAGGTGACCCTGTGTATATATTTACTGGTAAATATGATATTGTTGCTCGACCTAGTACAGTTAAAATAAATGAAAATGTCTATTCGGAATTGGGTGCAAATATCAAAACAAATTATGATATGGCTGCTGCTCATGGATTTCCTACAGATAATTTTGGAAAAAGTTGTGCAACTCTTAATTTAGAAAATTATATCAATAATTGGTTTGTAGAATAAATAATTATAGAATAAGTTTTATTTTTTTTCATATATGATTTAGTAATTTCAATATGGCATATGATATTTTAAATCATCTCTATGGTGGAAATCTAATTAAGTCAAAAAGTGGTACTCAAACACCATTGATTGGTCAAATGGCTGTATTTGATCAAAAAGCATTCATGAATCCACCTTCATCATTGACTGATAGTCAAACACCAAGCTCGTCTCTCTTACAATGGATTTCAGAAAGTATGAATTTGTACACAACTGACAACTGGGCTTGGCCTACATCAGGTCTTGTCAATTGGACGATTCCCAGTGTTACAACAGTACACACAAGACAAGCTATTACACGAGCCTTATCACACGGTTTTGATGAAGAAGGTTTCATTTATTTTTCATCGGCTTGTGCTCAAGGTCAGAAATGTTCAATTCATGTTGCTCTTCATGGCTGTCAACAAGGTTTCCTTCATCTAATATTGTATTTCTCTTATACACTCGGATTTTATTGTAGGAAAACGTTATGTAGATGATGTATTTGCAACGAAAGCTGGCTATTTAGAAGTTGCTGAACTCAACAATTTGATCGTTGTTTTTCCTCAAGTAGCTCCAACAATGTTTTTGCCAACGAATCCAATGGGTTGTTGGGATTGGTGGGGATATAGTTCACTTTCATATGCTACGAACAAGGCACCACAAATGATCAGTATCAAGAAGATGATCGATACTGTACGTTTGATTAATCAAGCTATGGTTGCATCTGTCTAAAAAACGATAAAATGTGTTTCAAAGATAGATTTCATTACGACTATAGAACTGTATGATGATGAAACTATCGATTAATAAATCCGTCTTAAACATGAGTTTGCACTTTAAAAGACGCGACGTATTGCATACAGACGATCAGCTTTAAAACTACATCTGCATGTTATTTTTTTTTAAATCTTATACTGTAAGTACGTTACCCCGTTAGATTGTAAGAGCAATAGCACGATAGAGAAAGGTTGAAACACAAGAATGTAGTGATACTAATATTCACACCTCCCATTCAAGTAGGAGTATTATCTCGATAATTTTTTTGCAACCGACGACCTGAATATGAGAGTTAACATGTCAGTTGTTCGATGAATTCATTTGAAAAATAAAACGAACGAAACTATCAGGATGACAACGAAATGATGCCGTTCATGCCTGAATCATATATATCTATCGAGGCTGAGAATCTACTGCTCCCGCGCCATGGTCCTAGGAGAGAGGAGGCTCACGCACCGCCACCACCACGGCGATAGCAACGTGGCGGTGGAAGCAGTATTAGCAGTGCCAGCACCAGCATGGACATTTCTGGGCTGAATAAGTGCGCAACATACAATAATTCCATCCATCGGTCTTTGTCTTGTCCGAGAACCGAGCAATATTCCAATGACAGCTAGTATAAGACTAAATTGAATTACTTGAAACGAAATATCTACACTGACTATTTCTTTTTATTATAACGTGCATGTAAAATCCTAGTTGAAGCAAAAAACTATGATAGTGCCATGTGCTCGTGCTAACCTAAAATCTGGTTGTAAGTCAGTAGTTGCCATTTTTTGGCTAATGTTGAAATCTTTAATAAAATCGCATGTACGATTCATTGTTGAGTTCATGTTATGAATTAATGATGTAGTTTATCTAGATTGTCTTTCATTTAGTAGAACCATTGCAACTTTTAAGATCATTCTATCCGTAGGTTCTGACATCAATCGATCGATCTACATATATCAATAATTCTTAATATTTGATAATTTTTTCTTTTTTTGTGAAATACGACTGTTAAATGATGTCGAAGTGTAAAACAAGAACTTTGTCCTCTCCACTTCTTTCACCTAACATGACAGATACTTTCAGGAAAACTTCTATAATGTGGCAGCGGTCTTTTTTCATGTATTTGTATATTTGAAAATCATTTCGAGCGAGTTTTCATGGGAAGTGTATGATCAATCTAGAAATAAAATATTTTACAGAAAAATTCTCTGATATTTAAAATGTTGACTAATCGATTAGTTTATTTTTCAAGTTATCTTATTCGAAGTATAACATCGTCAATGATTTGAATAAGAATTGAATGATGATGAAGTTAAGATCGACTCATTGTTTTTTTATTTATTTATCTTATCAATTGCCGTTTTTTTTGTGTGCATCATCACTTGATGATGTGTGATTATTTATTCAAACAACTTTTTTCGTTGGTCTATATATCTTTGCTTCTCATGTTTGAAGCTCATTTCTCTAACTGTGAAAGATAAGAAGACATGCGGTATCTTCACCAAGGTTGCTTTTTTTTTGTTGATAATTTTTAGATACGTTGAATATAAATGCCAAGTATATCGTTATTCAATCTTTTCAACAAGTAGTGGTTTGATCAAAGATGTTATATTGAGTTCTGCTTGAAATATATTATCAATATTCGAACTTATGATGAACTTTTTGGTGAAAGAAATGGATACATATACAATGACGACGATCATCAGAGAGAAAGATCAAACTAATTCTACAACCAAAAAAATTATAGAATTATTTATATCAAACGTTGAACAATTTATTTTCGTGAAATTCCAACAAAACTTCGTTATATATTTAATGAACAATATCAATTAAAGCAAATAAGAATATTGCAAGAATCTCGATGAAAAGTAAAAAAAGTTAAACTGGTAACGATCTATAGATCGGTAAGACCAGCCGGTATCGATTTTATCTATGCCACAAGTTGCTCTGAACTCCTAGGAACGAGAGCCATATGCACTGAGTCCAGACCAGCTGAGAATCCTAGATTCTATCAATCACAAATCTTTAGCAATAATAATTAATACTTGACAGGCCACGTCAAGGAGAAAAAGTGGATCCTGCATTGTAAATTTTTTAAAAATTCTACTTTGTAGAAAATCGATTTTAAATAAGCTAAAACACTTTCAAAGTTTCATCATTCATTCGTCGAATTTCTATTATTGTTTAGAAAATGTTTGATTTTCTAAATAATAGAAATTCGATTTAATTTCGTGCATAAAATCGAAACTTGAATATCAATATTTTGTTTTCAAGAAAGGAAAATTCATCGTTAAATTCGTATGGGTATTCCTAGAATATCTTTTGTGAATTCATATAGGCACTCTGTAATTTTATAGTGTAGAACAGAGCTGGACATTTTCATGGCAACGAGTACTAGGGGCGTTACTATCAATAGGAAAAAGAATTGATAGTGCCGCTCCTAGTAATCGTTGTCATGGAGATGCCCAGTTCTGGATAATAGATAGAAGAAGTTTTTCCCTACAAAATTGCATACATCCTCTTCCGAAGTCAAATCCTTATAGTCGCCTTTCTGCTCTTAGGTTCTTGTGAATGGCTTCGTGCTCTCGAAAATCGCATTGGGTTCCTGTCCAACAAAACATAGTGACTTGCCGAAAAATGTGTATGTGTGTGTGTATCTAAATATTTGTGACATTTCTGTCTTTGCTACATGTTTTGAATTCTATGTTCACGTGAAAAAGTACAGTGATATGAGAAAAAGACTCGTTGATATATTTGAATAAATTTATCAGTAGAAATCACAGTAATGTTTGGATTCGAATCATCAAACAAGAGTATTTGTATAGATCATAAAATTATTTCTCTATAGATTTTCAACTAAATATATTTCAGATAGAGATATTTTCTATAATATATTCTCATAGAAGAAAAATGTCAACAGTAGCTGAATCAAATCCATGTTCAATTTGTCAAAAATCTACAGCTAAATTTTTATGTGTTGGATGTAATACATATTTTTGTTCGAAACATTTCAAAGAACATGAACAAAAACTTTCAACAAAATTCGATCATGAAATTATAAAATCACATGATGAATTACTTGTTCAAATTCAAAAATTAGAAAAATCAAATTATTTATCATTGGATTTATTCATTCAAATTGAACAATGGAGAAAAATAACAATTGATAAAGTTGAAAAAGCAGCAGAACGAGCTCGTCATGAACTTATCGAATTATTTGACAAACAGAAAATAATAATAACAAAACAACTTGAACCAGTTACAAAAGAAATTCATAGTCGTCGAGATGAAGATGATTTTATTGAAAGTGATATTCATCGACTTCGACAACAAATCAATGAAATACAACGATCACTTCAACAATTGATTGGAAAAGACACAACAAAAACCATCATTGTTGAAGATGATAAAATCGATTGGAATCGAATCATCTACATTGAAGACAAACAACAAAATTGTGAGTATATTGAACTTAAGGCGCCTTCCTACCCTAAACAAAAAAAGCCAACTTTCGTCGAAAAAATGTAAACGGAGATAAATACTGTGAAACCTGAAGAAATAAATTGTGTTAATGTTTGCTGGCTTAGTTTTATGAAGTATCGATCGTATATTCTTCTAAAAACATATCTTATTTCATCATTGCGATGATATCAATAGTTTAGTTTCAAATAGAATATTGTCGATATTCAATTAGAAAACAACGAGATTATCATAGAATGAATATTTATTCTAGCAAACTTTCCCTGGTGTAAGTATTTGATTTGACGCAATACTCTTCACAAAACAATACTAATGATAGTTTGTATGAGCGAAGAGTACTGACTAGAACCCATCGAGTCCAAGAATTTTTGCGCTCGAACCAGACCGATCAAAATTGTTGGATTCGGACTTAATTGATTGATCTTTTGTGGGTCAAGGCCATTGGGCAGGCTTTCCTGTTGCATGATTAAGTTGGAATCGACTTTTCCAAGACTAAAAATATTAATTTAGTAATCTATATATATAATGTTTAGTGTCTGTCTGTGCCGGGTTACAGATCAGAGGTCAAAGGTTAAAGATCAAAGGTTAAAGGTCGAAGAAGGCTATACGTGGAAGCACCAAGGCCCATCCTAAAGGGGTACTACTCATAGGCCCTCACAATAGGGTGATAAGGTAATAAGGGGGGAAGGCAATAAGGAGATAAGACTACAAGAGCTATAAGGTATAATGGCGAAGGCTACACGGACTGCAAAAGTATGTGCGATATAAGAGTATGAGACCGAAGGCAATCTATCTGTGTACATAATATCGAGTGTATGTATGTCTGTTACCGGATGAAAGGTTAAAGGTGTGAGATCGTACGTTAAAGGAGAAAACAGCCGTGCAGTATGCACGGGTTCTCGCTAGTAAAATAATAAATGAAAGAAAATCAAGTCCAACTATCGGTTTTGATAAAAAAAAATCGACGACATAGATTGATTCAAATTATGTCTTTTTGTTTCAGTACCATTTCTACTCAATGAAAATGTCAATGCAAATGTAAAATGGATACAAAATGGTATTACTGTAGCTGGAGGAAATGAACATGGTAATGCAATCAATCAACTCTATCATCCATGGGGTTTATGTATTGATGATGATCAAACAATTTACATTGCTGAATATTTGAATCATCGTATTATGGAATGGAAATATGGTGCAACGGCTGGTCGAGTTGTAGCTGGTGGAAATGGACAAGGAAATCGCCATGATCAATTGAATTATCCAACAGATGTAATTATTGATAAAGAAAATGATAGTCTTATCATTTCTGATTATAATAATAAAAGAGTTGTTCGATGGTCTCGCCAAAATGGTACAATTGGAGAAACGATTATTTCAAATATTGGATGTTTAGGTTTGGCAATGGATGATGATGGATTTCTCTATGTTGTTGACCATGATGAACATGAAGTTAAACGTTATCGAATAGGAGAAAGTCATGGAATTGTAGTTGCAGGTGGAAATGGTTCTGGTGATCGTCTCGATCAATTGGATTATCCACGATATGTATTTGTCGATCGAAATCATTCAGTCTATGTAACAGAATATAAAAATCATCGTCTAGTAAAATGGATCGAAGGTGCAAAACAAGGAATTGTTGTAGCTGGCGGTCATGGTCAAGGACATAATCTTACACAATTATCAAATCCTTATGGAGTTGTCGTAGATCAATCGGGTACTGTCTATGTAGCTGATTATTCGAATAATCGAATAATGCGTTGGACTCAAGGAGCTAGACAAGGAAGTGTTATCATTGGTGGAAATGGTCAAGGAAATCAATCAAATCAACTTCATAGCCCTATTGGTTTATCATTTGATCGAGAAGGAAATATGTATGTGAGTGATAATGAAAATCATCGTGTACAAAAGTTTAATATTGATCGAAATTGATATGTTTTTATTGTAATTTTGAAGGATAAAATTGTTTCGAATTAAATTGACAATATCTAGCAGCAAAATTATTTTAATAGAGAATACATATGCAGATAGGATGATGAATATCAACATCAGGAGATAAAATATATTTATTCAGTCAAATTAATTGATTTTTTTTTATCAAAATTTCCTCGTAATGGAACATCGTTTTCATATATTTTTTTTTTGAATGTTTTTCAAGTATGAAGGATTTTAATCCCTTGAGGGCGGGATTACTTTTAAGAAAGCAAAGGAAAGTTTTGAAACCTTGAACGGGTATATTTATTCATATCGATAACAAAAAACGTCTAAAAATATTTTAGAGTATGATAATCTTGAAAACAACCAGAAATACAAAGTCCGACATCACATTCAATACATTCGTATCTGGTGTTAGTTCTTCTTGTTGTTTTCGCACAAACAACATATTCTCTTTGAGAATTTTGTTTAGTCGATGTTGAAGATATAAATGATGGAAAATGGCGAGCAATAAGTGTTCCTGGTACTGGGCCGACCTGTTTGTGCTTTTGGTTTCCTATACATTTTCATAAACCGTACGTGATATCAGTGTAAAATAACGTAAGGAAAGAACTGAAGTGATGAGTATAAGTGCAAAAGAAAAAAAGATGAATGAAGTCACAATATGAATGGTAGTATAACAGATTAACGATTTATGTGCTAGCGCAGATCATAAAAACAGCGTAAGAGATATATGCAAATCAACAATGAGTTGATTTGAAGCTGGACGTATATATACGTCGCCCGTCCCCACGGGGTTAAAATAAAATTGACTCATAGTAATGTGTTTGAACAGAATAACGATCATCATCACACATAACTCGAGGTACAGAATTTTTTTATTGGTATAAATCTGTGAGGAACACACGGTTTTCTTTCTGTTCACAAACTATTTTCGACTGCGTGTTACCTTACTGAAATGTCAAAATCGAAAGAAGCTTTCACTCGAAAACAAAATGGTACATAGGAGTTAACGAGTTAAAGAATGTGTTATTTGTGAGTCCCACCCGCGACAACAGTTTAATTTTAACATATTCTCACAGCTTATACCATCGCGGCTGAGAAACTTCCGCTGCCACGATCGTATTCAAAAAAGTGTTTCGATTGTCAAGGCCGCAACTGGTTCGAATTAGATGTGTAGATTCATATATTTTTCAAAGGACAAAGTTCGATAAGGCCATTTTTCGACCCACAAAAGTTTTGAGTAATAACCATATGGTGAGTACAAGCTCGACAGGGGCTGCCATTCTAGTATGGTTTTTTTGTTTTGGTTCCAAACTGATCTGAAAACACTATTTCAAGATTTTTGATATATTTGTTCTCTACTCCACATGTAGATTTTCGAAAATCGTGATATAGTGCTCTCAGATTACTTTGGAACCAAAAGCAAACATCACCATTGGACTCAACATGGTCGATTACCTATAATGTGATCCTTTTATGGATGCCTTGACTATCACAGAATATTCATAGATCATATACGAAAGAGAAAAGACTTGTTAAATTATAGCGTACAAGCCATAATCGATCAATCGAAATGAATTTGTTGTGACCTTGTTGTTCGTTTCGATGATACTGACAAGATTCGAGCGATAAATGGTTTCGAAAGAGTAAGACCTGTCACTGGCAATGTTTTCACCTTCTCAAAAAAGATTGTTTTGTGATAATTTCTAGAAGAAGGTCAAAACGTATAGAGAATCTAAAGAAATTTTTCAAACAAAGACTAAAATGACTTCAAAAAAGAAACAAATTTTCTAATAGCCAAAATGAAATCATAAATAGCAGCATCCTTTGAATAAAATAATGAACTACTCAAGAGTAATTAGAAGATTCTTTTAATGCATCTATATCAACAACAGCTTTTTCTAAAGCATTGTTGAGATTACCAGCATAATTACGAATATTGATATTAATCTAGTATTTCATTGAGGGCAACATGGATCAAAACAAGCATTTGAAAATATTTCCCTACTATCAGACGTCCCAGTAGAGCCCATCGGGTCCAAGAGATTTTAGATCCGAACCCGGTCAGTAAAATTTTTTGAATCCGAACACGGGCCCAACCGACTGAAATTTGCTGGGCTCGCACCCAATCCGGACCTGATCGGTAAAGTTTTTTTGAACCCGAACTCGGACTTCCCGACCTTCGGGCTAAAAAAATTGTTGGCCCCGAACCCGGATCGATGGACTCTAGTGGAATCCTATCTGTAGAGTATCCCAAAATCAAAGCATTCCCTATGAATGTTGTCGAAAAGAATGGCTTCTTTTGTTTAAAAAATAACCGACATGAGTCCTTCAAAAATCACAGACATACCGGCAGAGAGTCATATAATTTTCGGATATTGTGTGCATACTCAAATGACAATTAAATAAGAAATTGATGGTATTCTATCAAAGATTGTGATGAAATAAAAAATTTCTTATCAATGTAATCAAGTAAATATTTGTGACAAGCAACAATATTTCTACATGATCCAATGGATATCGATAAAACAGCATTTTGTTTTCTTTTTTGTTCGTGCAATATATCGTTAAAATGTAACTTTGTCATTTCATTATTGACATGTGACATTTTTGAATTAATAATAGAGGATTATTTTTATTTCTTCGCAATTTAAGTGCATGATATTATTCATGTGATATTTTTAAAATGTTATTTTAAAACATGCACTTATCTAATCATGTCTTAGTCGCCATTCGATTATGCTCTACAATAATAGTTAGTAATAGATGATTTCCTGTCCTCAATATAAGAACACAATGTATTCAATAAACAGAAGAAATCATGGCTTAAAAAAAAAGCATTGACTTGCCCTTTTAATGCTATGATTAATGACTTAAATGCCTACCTTCAATATTTAACTACGTAATACTTTTATCAACAAGCACATTTTATTCTGTAAGTATTAATTCTATTGATCTTTTTATAACGTGTCCATAAGTTTAAGTATCACTTGTTTTTATCTTATTGAGTAATTTATTGCTTCACAGATGTATCCTATTGGTGCTATGTAACTCAATCAAAACATCTGGAATTGACAGTTCTATGCACTAGAGTCCATCGGATCCAAAAATTTCTGTATCCAGACCTGATGGGCTTTACTATCTATTCTCTTACCATTAAGCCTTGACCATAAGCGTGATGGCATTATAGAACGAGAATAGTTGCACTAAGGGAAAAATAGTTTCTTATCCGACAGGAAATAAACTTCTTTTCCTAGAAATTGTCAGAAAAATCACTTAGAGCTTCGACTAGAAATATCGTAGAAAAATAGAACATCGTTTGTTACTATCAGTTCATATAGAGAAAAAGTTCCTTTAAGCTTTTTATATGGAATTAAAGTACTTCCGCCACTACTTTTAGATTGCTCTAAGTAGTTTATATCTACGGGTCTATCAGGGTTCCCGTTCCACTTGAGAATTCATTTCCAAGCAGTTGGGCATGTTTACACATACCTATTCTTCCATTATGTAGCAAGTCACAATGGGTTCCTGCGGACCCGGAACTCGAAGGTGGCTCTTTGACTGTAAAAAACACTTTAATCAAGTAGTTAAAGTTAAAGTAGAGATTTTTTCACTAAAAAAAACCGATTTTTTTATAAAGTTTGACCAAAGGTAATTGGAATTGAGGAATCCGAATCTGAAACCAGTTTTTCGAAACTTTGAGTTTGATTTTTTTGCAAAAAAGTTTATTTCTTAAAAAATGACTTGTTTTTCGTAATAATATTTTTTTAAGAAATAAAACTTTTTTGCGAAAAAAACCAAACTCAAAATTTCGAAAAATCAATCACAGATTTGGATTCCTCGATCACAATTACCTTTGGTAGAACTTTATAAAAAATTGCTTTTTTTTTTAAAAAAAAGACTTTGTTTTAGTGGAAAAAATCAAACTCAAAATTTTGAAAAATCGATTTCAGATTTGAATTCTTCGACCCCGATTACCTTTGGTCAAACTATAAGAAATTGCTTTTTTCTTAAAAATGCTCTTGTTTAGTGAAAAAATCTCTACTATAACTTTAACTACTTTATTAAAGTACTTTTACAATCGAAATGTCACCCTGTAGCTCCCAGTTCCTGGGAACGGAACCCGAAACTAACATTCCTATTTATATCGAACGAATATGTTTTTATGATCAAAAAAAAATCTTGTATCCAGAGAATTCTAGCATTTTCTATTGCAAATACCAAAATAAGGACCTGCTTGTTTTCTATTAATTTGCTATGGAATGTCTCAGAATCTATGATATTTTTTAGGGAAAAACTTTTTCGTGCAGTCGAACTCAAATTATGGTAGGACATACCAAAAATGAATTGATAGTTCCTTCACTATCGACAGTATCATCAATTAATCGAATTAAGATTGTTACTCAGCATGAATATTTTGAACCATATCCAACGGTTAAAGATTGGTTTAAAAAAAAGATCAATAATCCTAAACAAAAAATCAAGCATTATTTTCAATCCTATTTACCATTTCTCGATTGGATCTATCGATATAATTTCGTATGGCTTTCGAATGATCTTATAGCTGGTTTGACTGTTGGTGCTATTGTTATTCCACAAGGAATGGCCTATGCTGGACTAGCTAAATTGGCACCACAATTTGGCTTGTATACTTCATTTATTGGTGCAATGATTTATTGTTTTTTTGCCACGAGCAAGGTGAATATGATAATGCAAGAAAAGAATGATTAATTTTTCTTTTATCATTATTTTCAGGATATTAGTATTGGACCTGTAACCGTTATGTCAGCATTGACCGGTAGTATAGTCGATGCTATACATAGAGATTATCCAAAATATGAATCACATATAATTGCATCAACATTATCTCTTATATCTGGTTGTATTGTTTTTATTCTCGGAATGTTTCGTCTTGGTTTTATAGTCGATTTTATTCCTCTGCCAGCATTAACAGCATTTATGACTGGATCAGCATTAAATATTATCGTGGGACAAATACCAATAATGATGGGTAATAATAAATATTTAAATACACATGAATCAATTTATTTAATTTTTGGTCATTTTTGGAAACAAATTCAACATTGTAATTTAAATGCTGTATTTGGTTTAACAACACTTATTTTACTTTATTTAATTCGTTTTATTTGTATTCATTCTAGTAAACGTTATCCTAAATATGAAAAAATTTTTTTCTTTATCAGTACACTTCGTATTGTATTTGTAATTCTTCTCTTTCTTTTCATTTCATGGTTAATCAATCGTCATAATCCTGATCATCCACGTATATCTATACTTGGTAAAATTCCACGTGGTTTTCAAAATTTAGGTATACCATATATCGATCGAACATTATTGAATGCCTTAACATCCTATCTACCTTCGACAGTTATTGTTCTTCTTATTGAACATATTGCTGTTGCGAAATCATTCGGTCGAATTAATAATTATACTATTGATTCGAATCAAGAATTGATTGCTATTGGTGTAATAAATATTTTTGGACCTTTTTTTGGTTCTTATCCAGCAACAGGTTCATTTTCACGAACAGCAATTAAATCAAAAGCGGGTGTACGAACACCATTAGCTGGTTTATTTACTGGTTTACTTATTATTTTGAGTATTTATGTTTTAACAGGAATTTTCTATTGGATATCACAAGCTTGTCTAGCTGCTGTTATTATTCATGCTATTGGTGATGTAATTGTTGGACGAGAAACTTTAAAACGTTTTTGGCAAATTAATCCAATTGAATTTTTTATTTTTTTATTTGGAGTTTTAGCAACAATATTTTCTACTATTGAAATTGGTATTTATATAACGATTATTTCTTCGATTGTTCTTCTATTATTTCGTATGGCAAAAGTTCATGGTAAATTTATTGGTCGAGTTGAAATTCAACAAATGAAATTAAATTTCAATAGTTATTCTCATATAACAACTCGAAATATTTATATACCATTCGATCATTCTGATGGTTCAAATCCAAATATTATTCCAATATCATCTAGTAATAATGGTATATTTATCTATCGACTAAATGAAAGTTTTTTATATCCAAATATTAATTATTATATGGAACATTTCATTGAACATATATTTCATGAAACTAAACCAGACAAAATAAATCGATATAATTCAATTGGTGAACAACCATGGAATTTAAAGATTAATCATCATTCAGAAGAAAATGATCAACGTCCATATTTATATGCTATAATTTTGGATTTTACCGGTGTTATTCATTTAGATATAACTAGTCTACAAAATCTTGTTGATATTCGTGAACAATTAGATAGTTATGCGAATAAAAAAATTCATTGGCATTTTGTTGGTTTATCAAATCCTTGGATGAAACGTGCACTTATTTCAGTTGGATTTGGATCATCTGATCAAGATCATACAACTTTTTCTCTAGCAAAAGTACATGATCGTAATGAAGATGTGATTCTTGTTCCTATTCTTGATATTAATCGACCATTTTTTCATATTGATCTTGATGAAGCATATGAAGTAGCTATGAACAGTTTAAATCAACAAGAAATATCTGTTGTTTCTCGTGATGATATGACATAATTCATTTGATTTATTTTCTTTTTTTTTATAATTCTCATTCCCAATCATACAGATCTTATTTATGGGTGAAATTCTAAAAGAATATATATATATTTTGCGTTCAGTAGAAAATTTTTTTTTTGTATATCCCCGTACTCCTTCCCCTCCAGGGGTCTAGGGATCAAAAAGTTTTTTTCGATTAATAAAGAACTGATTTATATCAAATGATGAAGCATACTTCACTGATTATTTTTTTATTAGTAATGCTGAAATTTTGTCAATATATCTGAGTCGTAATTAACAAAAAAAGCCTATTTTACATGTTACCATTCAGTCCCTACTATTCCAAAAGATTTGATCTATAAAACATGTAGAGATCAATGGTATGCAACTTTCAAGAAAGGTTCACGTTGTTACTCAATTGCCCTGTGGCACAGAACTGACCACATTGGAATGTCATTTGATCAATAAATATTCTAGACCTATGGGAAACGACCCTTTTTAATTATAAGATACCTGCAGTGAAACTTATCCATTATAAAGAATTGAAGAGCATCCATAACTATATTGAATTATATCTAAAAACGTAATTCACATAAATTTATCCTAGAACATCATAAGGTCTCCACAATCTATGAGTATAGAATTATAACCAGTATATAGGCTCTTGGGACATGAAAATTTCACTTCCTGTATGGGTCGTTCCAGAATCGAGCCCAGATGTATCCGGGCTCATAATTCTACATTATTTCGGGTCCGAGCCAATAACTCTATATTCTTTCGGGTTCAAATCGGGTCCGGGTCTATAATTCTATTTTCTTTCGAGTTCGGGTTGGATCTGGATCGAGTCTGGATCCAATCTTTTATTTTTTGTCGGATCCGGTTACACATTTTTGTGAACCCACTACTCTTCAGATGAAAAATTCAGCAATAAGATATAGCTGTACGTTGAGTTTTTTTTCTGAGATAAATAGCTAAAACTTTGATCTCGTAGTTGTTCATGTACAACGAAGGATGTCAGATATTGATAAAAAAAACCTCACGTTTGGATCCGTCCAGGTCCATAAAAACGTGGACCTGCAGCTCCCTAACTCACACCCTCAATAATATTGTTATTGCACGGACAGACAAAAGCCCATAAGATCATTATGAACGGCAAAAGCAAACATACATAGAGAACAAAAAAATTTATTACACAGAAATCGTAAAAGATCCAGTGACACAGCGTCAAGAATAGTTTAATTATGTGTTTGATAAATTTTAGAAAAGAACCTAGGTATCATAAATCCAATGGCCAATTGAAGATCTATTAAATTTCAAATGGTAATCAAAGTGGAGAGAAAAAAATCGGATTCAACTCTAAATAAAACCCATGTTGTCTTAATTTCTTTGCATTTGCTTTATACAAAATTTCATGGAGCAAATTTATAGACTAAATCATAGCCATCGAGAATACGTAAGTAAAAATGTTTGATGAATCATTTTATATATTGGTAATGAATTCATTTTTTAATAAATCATCAAGATTGTATACTAACTGTGGTTCACTATTATCTTTTGGATTGTCTCGATAGATACTAAGTTGACGAGTATGAAAATTAAAATGAGCTGTACAAAGTGTTGCTAAATTGATTTCAGTTGTTCCACCTACGAAGAAAATTGGATACTTTTCGTCGGTTGTATCACCTAATAGATCCAATGCGTCTTTAACAGTACATATTTCACCAATTTCAAGTGCACGTCGAGCACGATTTCGACTCCATAAAAGTGGTTCTCGTTCAACAATTGATCCACCAGATCGTTCATAGTGATTGAAATGATTAAGATAATTTAAAACAATACATGTTGTACCTGAAAGATAAAATCTATAATGTTATAATTAATATTAATATTACCATTTATTTCTTGATATTGTTCATTATTGAGAATAAGACATTTACTAATAAAATTTTTCTCACTATTCAATCTTGGTCCTAATTCATAATTAATCAAATAACATTTATCTTGATTATGTACACGAAAAAATGCACAATTAATACAAAATGCATAAGCAATTGGTACTGTACGAATTAATTCATCTAATTGATTTTCATCGGTGATTGAAAGCAGAGCTCGATTAATAATTAATCTTGGAATACGATTTTGTCCAACAAAATTTGGATAGAGAGCATTCAACGTATAAGCAAAACCATGCATATTTACACCAAATGCAATACCTCAAAATATGAACAAAAACAAAAATATCTATTTTGTGAAACATAATCTGAAAAGAAGTGTTGAAGTATATAGAATAGAAATATGCACCTACCTACCGGGCCCCTCCTACACACTGTGACAGATATTTTAATTAATTAATTAATTAATTACTGTCTGATTAAGGGGTTCCCCTCAAAAAAGAAACTTTTTTTCCGAGCATCCAATTTTGATGAAATTTTCAGTGGGGGTATATACAATTATTGTTGTATATATGCATACAATACTACTAGGATGACTAATATATGGTCATCAGTGACTGAATCAAACCATTTTTCATTGGTTCGAGTTCAGTTCAGTTTGGATTCACTTTTAAAAATTGATTCTGGTTCGGCACGGTTCGACCTTGTTTTTAAAAGATGGTTCAATTTTGGTTCTATTCGAACAACCCTAGTCCCACCAAATCAGAAATACACGATAGGTCAATATGTGTTTCTGCTGGTTCAGTGAGTTTAAATTGTTTACGAAAAGTACAAGGAACAAGAAAACTTGAACTGAATGATATTGAAAAGTAGCTTTTTTTCTTAATGTGTATTTGCAATGTGTTAAATAGTGGCAGTCGTTTTTTTGTTGAATAAAAATTGAAAACAAGAAAACTCGTTTTTTAATTGAGTTTAATATCGGGGAAAATTTTTCGGAAAAATTTTGCAGTTTGGGTAAATTTTTTATTTTGCCGGGAGATTCTGCACGCCTGCTAACGAGCTAGAAATCACAAAATCGCCAAGCTTGCCAAAATTGACTTTTTTTAGAGGGCGTGTTGATTAATTAATTATTGTCTAATTAAATTATTAATTAATTGCCGTCTAAATAAATAATTAATCAATTGCTAATTAATTACCCATCAGAGACTGTGACAGACAGGCTTCAAGATACTATTGGAAATCATGTAAAACTAAGATCATACTGGAGTATATATGAAAGATTTCCTTGTTGAAGTTCTATATTGTAAAGTAAGCGATGATGAAGAAACATGCACCAATACAGAGAAAAAAGACGAGTTTTAGGAGATTAGTAATAATAGGTACATTATATTTCACATTTTAATCCCGTAGAGATTGTGCTAACAGCTTTTACATGATTAATCCGAAAAATATGACATTTTTCTTCAACAATGAAACAAAATAATATCTCACCGGGTATGACACCAGCATAACAATAAGCAATAAAACGCTCATTAGGACTATGTCTAGTACCATTATCGTATGAACTTGATTTAATATCAGCTTCAATGAGATAACCAGCGTCATAGAGACCAGCTGTATTATCTTCATTATGTACTAATGAAAGTGTATTTGTATCAAGTCGATTGATCAATACAGTACTACAACCTTTTGCATCATTCTCTTCATCTTCTTGTTGATGATTTGCATTTTTTGCTTCATAAAGACGATAAGCTGTTTGAGTTTCATTTTCAAAATTGAGTACAAGTATTTGTTCTAATGGAATTTCACAACCATCAACAAGACCACAAATTTCATCCCAATACCATGGAAATATTTTACGAATAATTTCAATAAAACCTTGATGTAATTTAACACCATCCGACGTTCGAACGAAATCGAACATTGGTGTTAAATAGATTCGATCATTTTCAATACGTTTTTTAATTAATTCTCGACATGCAATACCAATTTTTCGAGCACATTCATAATGTGTACCACGTACACGATAAAATCGGATATCATTTGATGACATTGCACCTTTAACGACTAGACAAACATAAATGAGAATGTTTGCGAATTGCTTTATCTTATACGTGAAAGGAAAGAGTATGTTTTCATTCATACGCATGTGTTATAAAAAAAAAGAATTTTTTTTTTTATTCTGATGAAATTGTTGACTCAAACTTGTTGTAAAGCTAATCGAATAACGTAGAAGTGAAAAAACAACCTATTGAATACGAGGTGTAGACATGGATGTGGCTTTGATTCAAGGGGAGATCTTCATACTTCAGGATGGATACTATACCTTAATAAATGTTGGAATCCTTTTGTCGCTTGCTGAAGAAGTATATAACGGAATTTTTGTTTTGCTTTAATGTCGAGTTCTGTCTTAAATAAAAATGTATTTTTTTCGTAATTATATGTTGCATAAAATATGTCTGCCAAATGCAACTTTTTAGGTACGATTAACATGAAAAACTAAAAGTAGATCTAAATAATTATCTAAGTAAATATATTTTATTATACTCTGTACCTGTGTTAAGTGGCAAAAGCATTGATTATTAAGAGAAACACACATTGAACAGTTTAATTTCTACTTAAAAACTAGCTTTACTCATTGAAAAGATTAAAGTCATTTTCCAGCTCTGTATGAAAGATTTAGTAGCTAAAGGACGCTAAATCGATTAAAAGAATTAAGCTCTAATAGTGATAAATATAGGTGTAACCCGAGTAGGGAGCTGCGGGTCTGGGTAACCACAGATACATACCATGCTCCAAGGTACGATACTATTTGATAATTCAACGTGTAAACTAAAATGCCAATAAATTAAATCTCTTCCCCATTCCCATGGAATATCAAAACGGATTGAATATTAAATAATTTGATTAAAACAGTACCATTTTCAACCAGATTTTTTTTTCTTATTTTTCTAATAGACACAGGACATCTCTGTCTTGTGACGGTCTCTATTCTCTAGTAATATTTTCTATCTTTCGTCAATTTCAAAATCTCTTGAAATCAAGAAAATTTATAAACATGTCGAGCCGAAGAGCCCGAGTTCGGTGTAGGACCCGATAGGCTCTTCCTACAAAAGATTAATCAATTACATTCGAATTCAAAATTTTGATCGACTGGATCCAATAAATTTTAATTAGCTATGTTCGAGTACAACATTTCTTGGAGCCAATGGATTCTTTTCATATCTTTCTGTATATACATTCTCTTTATGATTCTTATAATTTTGTACGAAGCTTTATTTGCTTTGTTATTCGATCTATACGTTCTTTCTTGCATCATTAGATTTCGTTCTCGAAACATATTTAGAACTACAACAAATCTTGGATTAAATTACAAGAAGCATAAGCAAATGCATATAAATTTTCATTATTGACTTTCATCTATACTGCTGTCGTTTAAGGATGATGCTTACGTTTGCTTCTTTCTTCAGAATTCAATATTTGAATTGTTGTTGTTCGTATTTTTTTTTACTGTAAATTACGTTCTAGTTCTACTAATTATTTCGATATATATTACTTTCAAGAAAAAAAAATTATAATTATTATGGAATAATGATGTGAGTGAAATATTTTTTTCTCGAAATCCACGGGTATTTCTATTACTACGAACAATAAATTTCATCTTTTTTCCGTTATATGTACGAGATTATGCCAGTTTTGTTTTATTTTTCTCTTATCAAATGAGTGTGATGTAGAGTCTGAATCCAGAAGTTTTTGGAACCCGGTAGACTTTTTCCACAAGATATTGATCAATCTGGTTCGAATTCAAACATTTTGATCAACCGCATCCAACAAATTTGAGTCAGTAGCGTCGAAGTCCAAAAATCCTTGGATTTTGATGAGCTCGACCAATCGGCCTGAAATTTGCGTATGGGTAACCGGTACTGATTCCATCTCTGACGATACTATTAAAATTTCCAAGTGAGAATATATTTTTCTAAAAAAACACAAAAAAAGTTGATGAGTGAATGATTATTCTGTAGCTTTCGGAGACTTTCTCTCTTAAGCAGAACTACACCAAAACTATGTATATGGTAAAGAGTAATATTCAAAATTTATTGTATTTAACTGACGTTCTTATTAGTAAACAAATGTTAAAATAATTTTATCCAAAGATGTTTACAAACAACAGGACATATGTAGGTGAATGACTTCTATGTATTATCAAGTTCTATTACATACGATAGATATGTTAATAGATGGCGCTACTTTCGCTATGTTTTGCTAGAGTTACGGCGAAGGTGGCGCTATCTATCAATATTACAATGGTACGCAAAGGAGATCTTGATAGATAGCGCTACTTTCGCCGTAACTATGGCCAAACACAGCGAAAGTGGCGTCATTTATCAACATCTCTATGGTATGTAATAGAACTTGATAATACCCAGAAGTTTTCCTTTTGCAAATCTGTATATGTCCTGTTGTTTGGTCAAAATCTAGTAATCGTCTTTGGTTTTATATTTTTATCTAAATCTATTTTAGCATTACTCAATCGGTCATTCGATAGGCATTACGATGCATCGGTTTTAGCTTCTGATGGACATCAAAATTCTATAGCGACTCTCCGAAGTTCCATTTTATGATAGACCGAAAACTCGATATTAGGTCATTTCGATGCTCAACTAAATATATTCAAAAACTAGACTCAACGGTCAAACTTGATATTGTGTTAAGTTTATTTCTACAATCATTCTTTCGATATGAGTTTTTTTTTCTCCTGATTAGTCAAAGCTCGAAAAATTAGTATAATTCATTTAATAGGTTTCCTCTTGAAAGTTCAATGAGTGCCGAAAGGTTGAAATATGTTTGAGTAGCCCATAGGACATACAATTTTCGAGTGTATGATATCGAGAAGCTAGAAATTGTAACAGAGCGAATATTTCAAAATTTCGACTGCTTGCCATTCGGTATGTCATTAGTATATACTGCCGATAACGCGAAATTACAGACAGTACTGCAAACAAATCATCCCTCTCCTCATTTGTCACACATACACATGTATGAGCACGATGATATATAGTCATTAGGACCACGTCAAATTGTAGAAAATGACCCATAAATAGTGAAATATCTTCGTATCGATTCCATTAAATAGGCTGAATTTTTTTTTATTAGTTTTAGAAGTTCATTCAAACTTTTTCTTTTTCAGAAGGATGAAATACTCAAACATTATTACAAAGTATCATTTTTCATATCATACAGAGAAATTTGATCTATTATCAACTAAGAAAAAAAAATTACATGAGTAGCGCTGCACAGATAATTTTCATTTAGTCAAATAGAAACACTTAATTCAACAATCGAACACATAAAAATCACATAAATTTTTACAACTTTTTTTTAAAAATTGTTTGTCTGACTGGAAACTAAAGAGCTCATCGAGTCTAAGAATTTGTTGGATCCAGTCGATAAAATTTTTTTGGGTTCAGACTAGATCGATCACAATTGTTGAATTCGCACCTAATTGATTGATCTTTTGTGGGTGGGGCCTATCAAGTTTAGGAATTTCTGAGCCCAATGGGTTCTATTGAAAATCCCTCTATTCGAATGAAACAATATGGTGACAGCCGAATACGACAAGCTTTAACAATGCAACGTAAACAAGTCGTATTTATATTTCGCGTTGCATGCTATCAGATGCAATCAACAGATGTAGGTGTTTTTTTTCTCTATACTTGACATACATTAACTACTAAATATTTCAATTTAGGCCACTCCTCACAAAAATCACTTTTCATCAGAATGACTGAAACTAAGATAAATGTAGGGGAAAGTAGCTCGTGATCTGATCTCTCATAAACGATAAAAATTTTTACTCTGCACTTCGTTTTTTTTCCTAGAAATTTTTGAAGATTTTCGTTATTCTCTTTTTGAAAAAAACCAAAAATTTTTTTCGTTTTGTAAGTTTTCTGATATGTTACATCTATAGGATAGACATCGAGAGTATAGAGATGTTTGTTTAAGTTACATAAAGAGATGGAACAGATTACCGATCTAACTTATTTGTCGTCCTATTTATAAATGAATATGCTCATATACAATAGCAACAAGATGTACAGTATGATCACATTATTTTTAATAGGTTTGTTCAGTTTGTTGTATTTATACAAAATCTTAGAAGTTTGTCATTCTGATATAGTTGAATAGAGTATCGATTACTCTATCGAATCATATAGTTTTCATTTTGTTCAAAAATTTGATACGTTTAGAAAATTGGTATCAACGATTTTTGCATTCAATAATTTTTAGACCATTTTTTTACTATTTCCTGGAACATTGAAATTTTTTAATTTTTATATAGAATAATAGACTGTAGTTTTCTCTACCGAACGTTATGAATTTTGTATTGGGTTTGTGGTGCTTTATCTTTAATATAAACTTGAGTGATTTTCCCGAGAAATGTGTTCCTGAATTATTTTTCATATATGAATTTTGACTTTTCTTCAAACATATTTTGGTTTTTTAAGCGCTAAACTTTTTTTCTTTGATATACAGTTGAAATAGAACATTGATTCCTCTATCGATTTATATATTTTTGATTAGATTTACATTCGATCTTACGGATGAATTTTTATGAAAAATGTGATAAACTTGATTTTTCACAATTACAAAAGTACACAAATTTTAACAGTAAAAAGGTCATTTTTCTCCTCAATTTTGAATCCATTTTGTTTAATATTTTTAGTACGAGAAAGTATAATGGGTCTCTTCCATCTAAAGCAATTGTTCATTATTATTGAGCTTACTGTTATTGAAATGTAATCGTGCAAAAGTTTCGTTTCAGTAGTTCTCTCACAATTTATCAGATTTTTGAAGATGTAAAATAAATAAAATCAAAAAAAAACTATAGTTCAATAGAGTAAATCATGCTCTGTTCAACAATATCAAAATAAGAAATATCCAAGGTTTTGTATAAATACAGCAAACTGTCAAAAATAACATGATCATGCTGTGTATATATATATATATATATACGATCATCTTATTTTAGTTGTAAACATGCAGTATAAGATACAGAAATGTGCACCAGACCTCAAAATTGGGTCACTTTTTTATGGCCCAAAGTGGTCCTAGCATTGTTTAGACTCATCCAGCCCGAAAGAAACTTCGTTTACAAAGATTTTTTTTCTCAACAGACAGTTATTCTATATTTTTCGGTTCTTATAAAAAGTAATGACCAAGGGAGGGAGTAGTGTGGAGAAGCTTTCCCCTATCCACCTCCCCCCTCCGGGGGGTGAGCCAAATCTCAGAAAAAGTTATGTCAAAAAAGAATAAAATCATCCGGCCAGGCGACCTGATAAAATATTTCGTTGTGCTGGACCGGACTGCCTGTTTCGAGATCTGATGTGCATCGCTCACATCTTCAGGTGGAGTATGACTCATACTGGTGCGCTCGCCCCGCTTTGAAATTTTGCGAGCATGACCGGTGCGGGGTAGTTGCGCTTGTCTCATTGTTCCGCCCGAGCGATCGCATGCTCGCAAGATGAATATGTTGTTAGTGAAGATTGTCTAAGTTGAAACTGAAAAACCCAAGTCGTATTTGATATTGTGCGACATTATTATATTTAACCAAAGATTATAAATAATGAAACATTGATCTAGTGTTAATACTCGAAATAAATCTAATTTTTAAATTCTACTACTAATGTAGGGTATGGGTGTGGGTGATAGTGGAATTATTAGGATAACACCCACACTCACACCCTCTTTGCTCTTTTCTTTTTATGTTTGTATGGTTTTCTGGAACGAAATTTTATTTTATTTTTATAATAAACAATAAATGTAAAAGTTGATAGAGAAAATTTATTTCAGAATTTCTTCTCTCAAATCTAATATGGTTTAAGGATGATTCTTTCATTAAAGCATTCATGTTGTGTCCACCAGACATGTCCATCGCAGCAGAGAATCTACCACTGCCGCGACTTGTTATTAAAAAAACGTTGCCACCGCCGCAATTGTATTCAAAAAAATGTTTTGATTTCCAAGGCTGTAACTGGTTTAAACTAGAACTGCTGCTGCTAATCGATCAGATTCGTTAAGTCTTCAATCATTTGAGTGCAACTTTCTCCATCAAACAATCGTCTTTAGAATTTTGCATGTTGTTTTTTTTTTGAATATCCTGTTTTATTCTCTAATTATCTGGTGAGAGTAGAGCTTATCGGGTTCAAAAATTTCTCGACACTCGATGGACTCTAGTAATGAGTCAATAATATTTTTAAGTGAATAATTTAATAAATGAAATATTTTTTTGGTGTATTTTAGAATATGCATACCTATTCTATAAAACATCTATTATATAATTGTCTTCGATTTCTATCCAAACGAAATATTCGTATTTGTTGTATATTTTTATTTATTTTCAGTTGTATAATTTGGTTACTTTTCTTTGTTAAAATAATATCAATACATTCAAATAATTTATATTCATCTTCTTCATATGATTTATTAGGTAATTGTATGTTAGATGATACACCATGTTTACCTGATATTGAACAAGCACTTAATCGTTATTTTTCTAAATTAAAAAGAAAATTTTCAATGTTATTAACATATCATCCAACAATTGATTGTGAACATGGTCGTTATTTATTATTAAATAATGCTATAGGTTCTCATACATTTCATGGTACTGGATCTAAATTAATGTGGTATTTAGGTGTACTTAATATAGCATATAAATTAAATTTAACATTAATACATCTTGATTGGATTGCTGAACATACAGATGATGAAAAAAATATTGAAAGAGAAAAATATTGGCAATTTTTTGATTGGGAAATTCCATATTCAGCTTATAATTTATGTCCAGAAAATTCATCTATTAAACGAAATATATTTCAATATGATTTAATAGCAAATCAAACATTTGATCAACATCATCATGGTAAACAACCATTTACAATTAAATCATTTTTTAAAACACGATTCAATCATTTTATAAATAATCTTTCGAATGTTGGTTTTACATTTTATTCTAGTCGAACATTTACTATTACATCATCACTTATGGAAATTGGCGTAGTTTTTGAAATTCGTTGGTGGTTACAACATCGAAAATTATATAATAAATATAAAGGTGTTTGGTCAGGTATTCCTATTTTATCTAATTATCAACCAATTGATTATTTTCAATATATTACATCAACTAATACAATCAATACTAATTCTCAACTAGATATTCAATGTTCATCAATTAATATACATGATGTTTTATTAATTGGTGTACATATACGTCATGGTGATGTTGTAAAACGTGATAATCAAGGTCGGATTATATCGGGTGACCTATATCGTTATATAGCAAATTCAGCTTATGCACCTTTACTAATTTTTCTAATTAATGCATTACCTATTCAAATACAAAATAAATATTTGATAACAATTTATAGTGAAGGTCGAATAGATGATTTTCATGATATACTTATAAGTTTAAAAGAAATTTTACCTGAAACACGTTGTCATATATCATTTTTTTTAAATGGTCGAACATCTGAAACATTTAATCGTTTATTACGTGATGATATTTTAATAAATGCATTAAGTACATTTAGTATGGCTTCTGGTATATTTAATAGTCGACAATTAAAAATAGGACCATATCATAATCGTGGAAGAGTACATGGTATGAGAAATTATATAAGTTTAAATTTAAATATAAATCATACAAAATTTCAAATAACAGAAGAAAAAAAACAATTAATTAAACAACGTATAGAATATATTTGGAAACAAAAACAAGCACAAAAAAAAACTTCTATTCCATTATGGTTAGATAATTATTCATCGGATTATCCAGAAGAATTTATGTTAATTTAATTTTTTTTTTGTAAATTACTGATATGAAGTTTTATATAAAAGATTGCCACAACTCGCGACGCAAATCGCCGAAGTTCATCATTACACATAGGCACGCACCGGAAGAAAGATTAGACATCGGCGTGATCAATGTTTTTAATCACGGTCATAACCATGAGTTACTAAAAAAACAAGTAATGCTCGTCTGCGGACTTGCTCAGCTCTTTCTCGTAGACATGTTGTTTCTGATCTCTCAACAAACTAGGGTGTGAGTGTGGGTGTAGATGTTCTCATTATCCACACCCATCCACTTCCAGCCTTGTTGTCAGGCAGATGGTTTTCATCTGCAGTTTCTCTTGAGAACGACAACTACCAGTTATTACGTTCTAGCACCGGGAACCATCTATTTCTACGCATGATATCTATTTACACATTTAACTATTGCCCATATCTTAGCTCTACAGACTTTCTTCCGTAAGAAATATTTCGTAAATCTTGCTACTCGTTATCTTGCTATATTGTTAACAGAAACTAATCATAGGTTCTGGTTTTTTACCTTCAATAGCCTTTGATCAATTTTTCTAGACAAAAGATTTACTAAAAACAGTAGCAAAGGAAAAGTGAAACTGACCTCAGATTCGGATTCTCCGTTCTCCATTACCTTTGGTCAAGTTTTTAAAACAAAAATTAATAAATTAAAACTGATCTCGGATTCGGATTCCTCACCCTCAATTACCTTTGATCAAGTTCTTGAGATAATTATTCCTTTTGTTCTCCAACCAATCAGTGAAGTGCAGACACACAAGCAAGCAAGTAAACAATTTATTCTTGCTAGACTCTTCTCTACGAGAAAGAGAAAAAAAGTGTTTCTATTGACAAGAATAACCAGATAATGACTAGCTGGTGTGATAAGAAAAAATACCGAAACACAGGATCAGAACAATAATATCTTTTTGATTACAGAATGTATGTTACAATTAATTTCAAGTAATAATTCTTCTAAAAATCGAGAAGAACAATATATATGTATATCAAGTTCGGGTTCACTTCAATACCATTAATTTTTATATAAATCACTTAATAGTATACTCCCTCATATGAAATAAGAAAGTACTGCATGCAAAAATTCGATCTTGAATGCTATCATTTTTTAGTCAATTGAAAAGTAGAACTTTCAAGTTTAAATCTCTGATCAAATTAAAAAATAGTCGTAAGATGTTCAGATTAAAAAATGATCATGACCAAGGTCCCAGTCGCAAAATTAGTTACGATTACAGTTGTGTTCGTGAGTTGCAAAGATTATGTCTGATGTCTAACCGAGACTATCAGTCCCGATCGGGTTCAAAATTTTTGGATCCAACGGGCTCTAGTCTCGTTACATTCCTAATCACTAGAGATGTGTTGAGTCAGGTTTTTTTATTCCGAAATCCGACTCCGAGAATTTTTATTTTTGTGACTCGAATTTCAATTCTCCGAAATTCTTTATCGAAAACGAATGATGACCTCGAACATTATATTTTATTGTTTAATTTAGAACATGTGCAAATCAATAATAGGACTGCTACATTAAATGACATTATATTTTTTTATATAGTCGATCTTTCGAATGATATAGTCAAAAAATGATTCATGTGAGTTTTTTTGTCGTGACAAGTATTGTCTATTAATATGAAAAAGTAAAAATTCATCAGAGATGATTATAATTTTGACTCCAACTCGACAGAGTCATAATCGGGTTTCGGAGTTCCCCCCCCCCCCCCGCAGGTGTCTACTAATCACGTAGTAACTGTAGGTGTGGCTATAGCTGAAGAGCAGATAAACACTCATACCCACCTCCTTCCTTCCCGTTACTGTGTATGATGACCCTCGACAGTTTGTAGCAAACATTCAATAGTTCCTGATATTAAAGATAAGTTCTGTTGTTTTCAATAGTCATATGAACTATTGTGAAATATTATCAGCGAAAAAGAAAAGTAAATATAGAATTAAATATTGAGTTCTTGCTGGACAAGATTTATCCAATAAGCAACACCGAATGGAATTGCATCATCATTAAAATTATAATCAGGTGAATGTAATTTGACCGATACTTTTTCATCATTAATACCCATAAAAATAAAAGCACCAGGTCGTTTTAAAAGCATGAAAGCAAAATCTTCACTACCCATAAAAGGTTCTGTATTCTTATTGACATTTGTCGTACCGGCAACTGATTCAGCAGCTTTAATTGCTCGTTGTGTTTGTTCATTATGATTAATAAGTGCAGTTCCAGTTCGATTATATTCTACATGTGCCGTACATCCAAAAGTCATCGCTAGATTATTTGCTAATTCATTAATACGTCGTTCAATAAGATCACGAACAGATTCCGTAAAAGTTCGTGTCGTACCTCCAATACGTATTTCCGATGGCATGACACTAAGTGATACAAATGAACCACCTTGAATAGCACCAACACTGATTACTGCTAGATCAGCTGCATTAATATTTCGACTAACAATAGTTTGTAATGCCATAATAAATTGTGCTTGTAATATAGTAACATCAGTTGCAAGATGTGGTGCAGCTCCACCATGTCCACCAGTACCTCGAAATGTAACAAACCAACGATCGGATGCTGCCATCAAAGGACCTGATCGTATAGCAAATGTTCCTAATTGTCCTGAATAGTTATGCAAGCCATAGATAGCATCAACAGGAAATCGTTCGAATAGACCATCATTAATCATAGCAATTGCACCTTGAAGTCTTTCTTCGGCTGGTTGAAAAATAAACTGAACATTTCCACAAAATGAATCTCGATGTTCAGCTAAATATTTTGCAGCACCAAGTAACATAGTCGTATGTCCATCATGACCACAAGCATGCATTGTACCAGGTTTTGTTGAAATATATGGTACATTACATTTTTCAATAAGTTGTAAGGCATCCATATCAGCACGAAGACCAATAGAACGATTACCCGATTGAAGACTTTTCAATGTTCCAACAACACCGAATTGACCAACACCTTCTGTAACTGTTAAACCCCATTGTTTGAGTTTCGAAGCAACAAGAGTTGATGTTCGTACTTCTTCCATGGCCATTTCTGGATGAGCATGAATATCTTGACGAATTGCAACTAATTCTTCTTGCATAAGTAATATATCATTCATTTTTCTTTCTAATGAAAATTAGTAGAATATAGAAATGAATACAAAAAAAAAAGTCAAACAGCATAAGTTTAATTCTTATCTAATCTATGTTGACATTTGACGAACCTCGTCGAGAGAAGAAAAATAATAATAATTATTATCATTGTAGTTTCTTTTATCAATATTGAAATTTGCAAATACACAAGCTCTCATCTGTTGGACGTTTAGTAGAAAATATTTTCTATCTTTTGAACTTGAGTAAATGAATATTATTGAACCAACAAGCGTGTTTAATTTGTATGAATTCATTCTTACTAATCCTATTTAAGAATTTGCCTGTTATGAAATGATGATCATGTATGGCAGATTAGTGGTTACAGCTTCATTAGGCTCAACATTTTTAAGATTCAAAGCCACCTAGAAAAATGATCGAACAAGTCGTATACTATCGCCGATCGACGACATTGAAATAGACAAAATTGTGAATGTCAATTGCAAACACGCCTACACTTTACTTCACATTAAGGACAACAAGATTTGGACCATAGATGTCCATCGCAGGTGAGAATCTGCCGCTGCCGCAATGGTATTCAAAAAAGTGTTTCGATTTTCAAGGCCATGACTTGTTTAAACTAGAACTGCTGCTGCTGCTGCTAATCGACCAGATTACAGTATTATATATATAAACACTGAAGATCTGCGAATTGAAATATCTTCCTAAAAAACCAGTCGCGACGCTATCGTCATAGACATCCGTAATTCGAACATAGAAAACTATGTATTTTGTTGCATTTTTTTTCTTATATGCCATGTCCTGCTAATGGCAGATCGAAAATTTGTTTTTCTTTCTCGCAGTATACCATAATTGTTGATTTTTTTGTATTCGATGGTGTCCCATAGTGTTTTTTGTTCTCCTATATTTATCTTAAGAAACATGAATTATGATGAATTTAAAATATTGGTAATTATTTATTTTACCTAGTATTTATGTGCAGCAATTATTTTCTTTTATGTATGATGTTTTCTTACTGTATTATAGTTCTCCAGTGTTTCTCTTAATGGTATCATGAGTCACGATGAATAACTCTGTTCTTTTTTTTCTCAAATTGAAAAGAGTAATTATTTATTTTGCCTTAACTTCATATATTATATTCATTCTAAGTTTTGTATTTGTCCTGTTTGGCCGTATTATTTTACTGTGTTGTGGATCACTTTTGTGATTGACTGGTAAGTGAATCTATATGAATGACTTTGGTTAGCATCGTGATGGATTAGCGAGAAATTTTGGAGCATTCCGCTAAAGATCATGATGGATAGAATTGCCAAAACTTCCAAGTGTCATAATGATCCATGTAGCTAGGGCTGTGTTGGTAACATAGATACTAATCGAACTAAACGTTCTCCTCAAGCCTTAGAGGAATAATGTGCCGGATATAATAGAAGACTCACCGTTAATTAATTAATTTCTCGAAAAACTGAAGCTTGATTTAGTATATTTACATCAGCATTCACGAATTTGAGGCTAAAAATCTTAACAGTATTTCTAGATATTCAAAACATTTAACAATCGCTTCCTAAATCCTCAAAATCATTTTGATTTTCGAAAAAAAACTTTGTTTAATTAAAGCTTATAGAAATAAATGAAACGCAAAGTTTTCTATTGCGTGACGGAAGAACGGAGGATTTTTAAGTATCTTTTTGTACAAAACACTTCTTGATGAATGCTGAAGTATATAGCGAGAGCAATGAACTCTTCTATTTCAACCCACGTCACAGACCGTAATAATGTTTCTTTGACTCGTAGATTGACTATCCATCAATGCTGCTCAAAACAATCTATACTACAATTCTAATGAATTCACTAGTTACTAAACATAAGAAGATCTGTTGAAATAGAACTGAGGGCATGAGCATAGATGTGTTTGCCAAACCCGCTTCTACATCTATTCTGAAATCAAATAGTCTCAATTGTTCAAATGCAAAATCTTTAGAGCATAGGATTTTCAAAAAATCAGAATCTAAAAATTATGAATTTTGATACTTTCCTGTCAAAATATATCATGACCCATATTTTCATAAGAAGAGCTTTATAGCGTGTGTGATCATTGGTATATTTTGAATTATTTTATATGTGTGTGCCACTGCAAAGTAAATAGTTCTATTAAGGTCCACAATTTTTCCTGAAGTTTACTATAGATACATATGTGTAGAAATCATAAATGTCCATCGCGGCTGAGAAACTACCGCGGCGCGATGAACTGTAAAAACAAAAGTTGCCGCTGCCGTGATGGTATTCAAAAAAAATTGTTCCCATTTTCAACACCGTGGCTAGTTTGAACTAGAACTGCTGCTACTAACCGACCAGATTTGCTAACTCGTACAGTATCACATATATGAACACCGAGATTCTGTGCAAATTCATATATTTTTCAAATTTCTTTCTGAAAGCTGCTGCGGCGCCACCGTCACGATGGCAGCGGCGCGACCATAGTGGGGCGGCCATAGTGGTGCGACCATAGTGGCGCGGCCATAGTGGCGCGGCCATAGTGGCACAGCCATAGTGGCGCAGCCATAGTGGCATGGCCATAGTAGCGCGGCCATAGTGACGCGCCCATAGCGGCATGGTCACAACGACGCAGCAACAGCGGCGCGACGGCGGCATTGACACGGGCATCTCTAATATAAATATACGAGTGTACTATAATTGAATATATTCCTATAAAATGTAAACTTAGCTCATTTGCTTGTACTTTCGATTTATGAAATACGTTTCCACACTCGCCATCTCTGCATGTTAGCGCTCGAAAAAAAAAATGAGCTTCCATATTCATCGAATATAGTAATTTGCTGATATAAGTCGATTCAACTAAGTAGTTGAGATTTTTTATCGTTCCAAAATAACAAACAACAACTATGATGGTTAGCAGCTCGACTATAGATACTTTAATGTGTGATGTATCGAAAGAAAAGATTGTTCGAGATTTGAAAATTTGATTGCATTATTTTTTTATGAGTGTACAATATTAAGTTTCTCGCTTAACTGTCAGCATTAACGATTAACGCATCATTCATAACCTTAAGATTAACGGTTAAATGTCTCATTAACTATTACAGTTAAATTATTATTATTAATAGTTCACTATTATCTCAAAATGTGAAAATATTGTTTTCTCTCAATTAAAATTGAGACGAATGACATGTATAAAATTCCTAGGTATTCATACACGTAGAACGACACAAGCAATGATCGGCACCTTTTTTATTGTGCTGATTGGACTCATTATCAAAGGGCAAACTAATGGGCTTCCAACAGCAAAGGTACGCATAATTTATCAATTGTTATTGTAGAAATAAGCTACACTTTTATTTCTTTTTTTCTTTGAGAATGATCGGACAACACAAAACAAGCTGGAACAGAATCGTAAGTTGTAAATCGAATATTTCTATTCCTTTTTTGTTCTGAATGAATAAATTGCTAAAGAAATCAATCGATTTAGTCACAAGGAAAAATAAGCAATGTAATTTCATATGTCGAAATTCGATGTCTGATTTACATTTTTGTTGTAGGATGTCAACAAAAAATATTATCATTGTTCGAGTTCTTCATAAGAAATTAAATGAATATATGTACAATTTGTTTCTTTTCATTTTGACAAAGGGAACCTAGTTGAAGGTGATATGCGTTATCCTACTCGTACCGCGCAAAATGGTGTAAGTTAAGTTGTTATTATCTTAATGACATTTATATTATTTCATTTTTCAAATAAGCGTGCATTATTACTTCGTGGTGTTGGAGTAGCTTGGCCAAATGGTATCGTACCATATGAAATTGCACCAGGCTACAGTTCGTATCTATTTTTTTATTGAAATAAAAGTCATTTCATGCTTAAAGTCGAGCATCGAATATAAAATGATAATATTCTAATTTCTTTTTTTTTATAGGCAATGAACAAGAATTAATTATTACTTCTGCCATGCGACAATTAGAAAACACAGTAGCTATCAATAATTTTCGTTGTGTTCAATTTCGTCCGAAAATTTCATCCGATCCATATTATATTACTATCGTTAATGAACAAGGTTGTTCATCATATGTAAATATTCTAATATATATGGATAGATAGGAAGTACTATACAATCTATACTTTAATTTTCTCTTAGGTCGGACAAAATCCACACGTCGTACTCAATCGCACAGTTACATTGCAAAGTTCTGGTTGCCTCACCGCTGGAGTAATTATGCATGAATTATTACATGCATTAGGTTAGTATGCTAGATTCTACTTGACATCATGACAATTCTGAACTATTAATAATTGTCAATAGCAATTCAAAGTGGATGAAGTGACCACTCAGCTCAAGCCCACACTCATAAGTAGGGAGCTACGGGTTCTTTCAGATCTAAACCCAACTTGGACCCGAACCTGAATCCTTCCTGACCCTGCTCTGGACCCAACCCGATCCGAGCCTGACTCAGACCCAGATCTGAATCCAATTCGGACTCGATTGAGGCCAGACCCAAACCTTTATTTTTTTGGGTTCAGGTAAAACCTTTTATTTTTTGTTGGGCCCGGTAACACGTTTTTGTGGTCCCCTGCTCCCAGATGAGTAATTCAGCAACAAGATATAACTGTACGTTGAGTTTTTTTTCCTGAGAGTAGCGAATAAATAGCTAAAATCTTGATTCTTCATTTGTTTATGTACACGAAACGTGACAGATATTGATGGAAAAATCTCAGGTTTGGATCTGGACCCAAATTTTTAATTTTTTTCGGGTACGGATCCAAATTTTAAACTTTGTTTGGGTTCAGGTATATAAAAACGTGAATTTGCAGCTTTCCATTCATAAGAAAACTCTATTGAAAATATAAAATAAAACTAATGTTTCTTTTTGATATAAGGTTTTGAACATGAGCAATCCCGACCTGATCGTGATAATTATGTTAGAATTAATTGGGATAATATACAAAGAGGTAGTGAAAATTTTCTTTATGAAAAAAAATAATTATTTCAAACTAATGATATTTATTTAGAGATGCAATATAATTTTGATAAATATGATAATATTAGAGTAAATACTTTAAATACACCGTATGATTATAGATCATTAATGCATTATGGTTCAACTGCATTTTCCATAAATGATTCGCCAACTATTGAACCAATTCAATCAGGTGTTACTATTGGACAACGAAATAATTTAAGCGCAATTGATATACAAGCTGTTCGACTTTTTTATAATTGTACAGCAAGTGGGATCACATTGCCACCAACGACAACACTTTCTACAGGTAACAAAAAAAAGATTCCCTATAATGAAGTTTCTTCGAGAATTCTTTGAGATGCAATCGAAAACCTATAAAACTAGAAAAACCGAAAAAAGATTTTGAAGAAGTTTGATTTTTTCTGCTCGAAAATAATATAGTGAGAAAAAACGATAAATACAGTTTGACATTTCTTTTGTTTTTTTTCTACAAATTAGCCAATTTGTATACAACCAATGCCGCTTATTCATCTGTGTTAACTGCAAATAGTCGAAGATTTTCACGTGCTGGTGAAGAAAATTCAAACTATTACTATGAAGTTTTTCAAGTGACTGTTCCGACATCTGGTTATTATCGTTTCAGAAGTAATAGTATCGTCGATACATATTGCTACTTGTATACAAACAATTTTATACCATCTTCTCCAACATTGAATTTACTTGCACAAGACGATGATACTGGTGGTAGTTTACAATTTCAATTTACACTTTATCTTCAATCAACTGTTGTGTATATGTTGGTTGTTACAACCTACTCACAAAATATAATAGGTCCATATACGGTAATTGCATCTGGTCTTACACGAGTTAATTTTGTTCCTATAACCAACACATCAATAGTATCTTCTACTACAAATGTTCCAATAGGTAAATAGATTGAATTTTTTTTCTTAAAACAAAACCAAAAGTCATAACAAATCAACTTTTCGATAATGTTGATCTTTCATATTTCTAGCATCTTCTTCAATTAATCCTTCGAACAATATTATTACAAACTATACAAATATATTGACAAATAGAAGTTCGACATTCACTCGACATGGAAGATCAGGCACATTTTATTATGAAGCTATTCAAGTGACAGTCTATACAACTGGCGTTTACACATTCAGAAGTATCTGTACAATAGATACCTATGGATATTTATATGTCAATAGTTTCAATCCAAATAATGTCACATCTAATCTCGTCACATCTAATGATGATGATATTGGAACT